CACAATCAACAAAGATACTGGTCCAAAAGCACATCTCACATTTAAAAAAATGAAGGTGGTTTCCATTGTGATCCACAGGAAGGGTACATTATGTTTTCTGACATCTCCACGACTTGAATGTGTCTGCTGACTGAAGTTAATTTTGTTAAATGTTATTATCCCAAAGTTTTCCTTTGGTAGTTTCTAATGCGGATTAATTTGAAGAAAGAACATTCACTGTAGATAGAATGATAATGAAAGAGCATATTTTACTAACACTTGTATACACTCTATTCTGTAATAAATGTCTCAGCAAATTCCCAGATAGCTGCAATCTCTTCACTATCACTTGTTAATGAGTTTATGCAAAGCAATAATACTTTGCTAAAGGATTCTTTATTCACTTCAAAAATTTTTGTGCCTTTTGAGTGTTTATCATGATGAACAGTTCATTTTTTAAATTTTATTTATTTTTTTTCTAGCAGTGCTAGGGACATAATGAGCCCTTAAAATAACTAGTCTATTTGAAGCAAATGCAATTGAAAAATAGTTTTGCTTATTTTGGGTTGCAATCACAATCTTACCATGATATCAACTTGATGAGGCTTTGCTTCTGATTATTTCTTGAATCAAGGAAAATAATATTTACCCATATTTTTAAGAAGGTTCAAACAGAAACTTTCTAATCACTTTTTTTTATTGAAGTTTTAAAATGTTTTTATTGAAGAATGAGCTATACCGAAAAATGCACAAATTATAAACTTGCTGCTCAATGAATTATAACAAAACTAATACTCCAACAATCAACGATGAAGGTCAAATTTAAAACTGTCACCAGCACCCCAGAAGTTCCCTGTGTGCCCTTCCCAATGGCTACTCCCTTTCTTCTCCAAACACATCCACTGTTCTGACTTCCAACACTGTAAATTAGCTATTTCTGTTTTGTACTTTAGATAAATGGAATCATGCTGTGTATCTTCTGCACTAAAAATATCCATAAGATGTATTTCTATCATTGTGTTTGAGAAATTACATCCATCATCATGGCTTTAGCTTCACTGTGGGGCTAGACCATCAGTAAGCTATATATTCTAGTATGCTGGCTATTTTGGTCATTTCCAATTTGGGGCTTATGATGGTTAATTTTATATGTCAACTTGGCTCAGTTATGGGCTGCCTAGATAGTTGGCCAAATATTATTCCTGACATTTCTGTTTCTGGATGAGATTCACAGTTGAATCCATAGGGGAGTAAATCAGGTTGTCCTTCCTCATCCAATCCACCAGTTGAAGACCTGACTAGAACAACATGGCCAACCCTCCCCGAGGTAGGATTCCTCCTGCCTGGATGCCTTTGAACAGAGCAAAGGCTGTTCTCTGACTTGGAACTTGAACATCAGCTTTTTCTGGGTCTTGAGCCGGCCAGCCTGTTGATTAGAAATATACTAATATCTCTCCAGATTCTGAGACCTTCAGGCTCAGACTGGAACCAACCCTTCTGCCCTCCTGGGTCCTCAGCTTGCTGTCTGCACATTCGTCAGCCTCCATGATCACAGAAGCCAATTTCTTAAAATAAATTTCTTCCTAAATATATGTGCACGTACTGGTTCTGAATCCTTAAAGGACACGGACTAGCCCAGGTCCCTTTTTAACATGGCTCTGAGCATTTTTAAATGTTTCTTTGGCATCATGCACATGCACTTTGCTGAATAATCTGTCCAGGAGGAGAACTGCTAGCTTAAAAGGTGAGCATAGGTACATCTTTGGTAGACACTGATGGTTTTGCAGAGTGATCATGCCTGCTGTCTACCACTTCCACCCCCCGGGTCTTGGCCAGCCGTGTGTGAACATTTCCGCAGCGCCACACCCCGACAAACTGATGCTGGCCTTGGCCTTGTCAGTCTTCCCCATTTCAGCCATTCTGTTAGGTGTGTATTTTGGTTTTAGTTTGATTTCTCTGGTGACTAATGAGATCAAGCTCCTTTTCATATATTTATTGGACATTCCACTGCCCACTTCTGTGAAGTGTCTGTTCAAGTCTCTTCTCTATTTTACTATTCATTTGTCGCTTTCTTGATATTTATAGTATATAAAGTATAATAAAGGTTTCTGAACCGTCCGTCATCTTCCTTTTCTCTGAATTTTTCACTTGTTAAAGGCAATACTTTTGACTCCCCATTATGAAACCTGAAATGTTCATGTTCTGTGACATCAATTTAGGGTATCAATTTAACTGGGTAGAGGGACGCCTAGGGAAGTGGTAAAGTACTTCTGTGGACATGTTTCAGAGAAGATGGGCCTGTGGGTGGTGTTAGGTCGGTTGGAGGTGGCTAGGGGAACAAAACACCAGTCAACAACAAATCAGGTGCTGACAAGCAGTGATAACCACCTGTCAATCAGCGGGGTCTCCTGACTGATCCTGGAAGGACATGGAGCTCAGCAAGATCCCCCGACTAATCCCAGGAGGTCAAGGGACCCTAAAAACCTCCTGTTCCTGTCCCAAGCCCTCCCTTCCTGCCCTAAGTCTGATAAAATTCTAATCCGGTTATACCTGGGTACGACTGGCCTAGACCCACTGTGTTGGACTGGAGAGTCTCGCCTTGGAGCAAATATCAGTAAAGCTTTGTTCATCAGCTTTTAATATGCCTCCTTTTGGTCACTGGTGCATGAACTTACAGGTGGGTGAACCGAGTGGGGCAGACTCACCCTAACTGTGGGCAGCACCATTCAGTCAGCTGTGGCCCCAGGCAGAACAGGAAAGCAGATGGGAGAAAGCTTCTCTCTGGCTCTTCCTTCCAGAGAAGGGCACCTTTGTTCCCGCTGCTGCCCTTGGACGTCAGACTTCAGATTTGTTAACCGGTGGAGTCTGGGACCTGCACCAGAGTGGCCCTCGGCGGGGCTCTTGGGCCTTCAGCTTTACACCATTGGCCTTCCTTATTTTGAAGCTCCCACTTCCTTGGACTGAGTCATCTAGCAACTGCTCTGCTGCTCCATCTCGCAGGTGACCCTCGTCCAACGTTTCAGCCTCTGTGATTGTGTGGACCAATAAATTCCTTCACATATATTTGTGTGCATGTGCATGCGAGTGTATAAAATCTATTGATTTCTCTCTGTATAAAATAAGTCACCTAGAAAAATCCTTGGCACACAGTAAACATTCAGCCAATACTTGCTGAAGAAAAGAGAAAGGATAAAAGGGAAGAAAGGTTTATTACATCCTTACTTCACCATCTTTTTTTTATGCAGTTATATCAGTAATATAATTTTAAAATTATTTTCCAAGGTTCATAAAATTTGAATTTTGCTTGACTTTTATGCTTCCCTTCCACAATTGATCTGTAAGTTGATTTTTAAATTTCAAGGTCCATGGAGAATGTGTTCATCATTGTGATTGACTGTATTTCTGCAAACTGGCTACAGCCAGTCCAGTCCCACGTACTTTTCCAGACCCTTGCCATTCCTTCATCAAGAGGTGGAGTTTATCTCCACTTTCCCTGAACTCCTAACAGAGTCCAGTGAAAGTCAGGCTTGATGCTTTCTTATTCTATTATAACAGGAGACATAGCTTTTGCCTGATTCATGTTGGGATATGCGGTTTAGAGCCCTGAGCCATCATGGAAGAAGTCTAGGTCCCTGAAGCCGCTATTTTGGAGAAACCATGTTATCCAACCACGTGGACATAGAGATTTTCATAATGTCCCCAGCTGTCCAGCTTTCTAGTCTCCCATCAAAGGCAGTACAGCTGAGTGGGAGGAAGCCCCAGGGTTGACTCTGGGCCCAGTCACCATCAACCTGCAACCTCACAGATACTTTGAACCAGAACCACTTAGTTGAGTGCTTCCAAATTCCTTGGCCACAGAGACCGTGAGAGATAATAAATGGTTGTTGTTTTAAGCCATTAAATTCTGAGGTGATTTGTTAGGCAGCAATAGAGAACTGGAACAATTGCTTATTGTAAAACCAGTTAACATGATTGAACCACGGGAAAAAAAAGGAGACTTGCTCTATTTCATTAAACTTTGGGCACTCAAATAAAAATGTTTTGAACACCAAAAGCAAATCAATGCTCATTGCTCACTCTAACCACTCAACACTATGCCGTGTCTTAGCTCGCCTCATTCTGATAAAAGCCATTTTTGTCCAGCTCTAAAATTTTTTTTCAGCTTTTATCTGACTCTTTTTTCCTTTTTAACAGAAAAGATAATTGGTCTGTATTTTGTATGGAAATCTACTTTCTTCTGGGAGATATTCTCATGGAGTTCTTGACCTTTCCCCTCGGTCTGCTGCTTCCTAGTTAGCTGACTAGACGTCAGGCTGGGATTTCATTAAATACTCTCTGGATTAGCACCTCACATTTTTTTTGAATCTTTTCTTGAGTTCCTTTATTCTATTAGAAAATACACTTCAATAATTTTTAGAAGATTCTGGGAGCATAAAGAGTCTCAGTCAGGGCCCACCTGTAGTCTCAATTCTGCCCTTGCACTTGATGGCCTGGTCTTCAAATCATTCTCAAGACCCTCCAACTCAATATGTTTTAAAGACATTATTCCATTGTCTTCTGGCTTTCTGCTTTGTTGAAGGTTGTTGTTTGCGTGGGCTTTCTCTTGTCCAGTGAGGAGCTCCACGGAACAGGGTAGAGGAGAGTGTGGCTGCAGGGTCACGGAGCAAAACCTCTGGAGACCCAGCTGAAGCAGGTCTGATTTTACTGCTTAGTTACCATGTTTATATAGTCAGGCAGTAGCTAAGCAGATTACAGGCAGCCCCCAATACAATTGCTGGCCAACTGTCCTTGCAGCAACCAATTGAGGACAGGCCACGGAGCAAGCGCTAGGACTGCAACACATGGCCTCACACTTAGGCGCTGTGCCTACAGGGTGAGCAGCCTGCACAAGGGGAGTGGGCTGCCACTCAGGCGCCCTTAATGTATGCCACACATGCAGTACTCCATGCACTTGTGCCCACAGTTGTTTACCTTATACTGGTTCTTTGGAGCTAACCTATTTTTTTTTTTTTACATTTTCATAACATTTTAACATTTAATAGAAACTATATACAATAATTTTTTACTATATTTTACATAAGATAGCCACTGCAGAAATTTACATAGATTACAAGCAAGATGAATAGTTAAGGTGGGTCCAGTCCTTAACTATCTCAGGATAAGGATGGGAGTTCACTGGAGAAAGGGTGCAAACTGTTCAATTAAGTGAAGATGAGGAAAAGCTAAACTGTAGGCCTTTAGGTAAAGATAACCAGGCACTGGGGCGACCAATATCTCAACGGCACCATTTATAAAAACAACCCTCACCTAATCATCTATGTGGATTTCTATCTGTGACTTAAGAAATCCCATTACAAAGAATCACTTTCCCCTTTGGCACAGTCCCAAATACTGAATTTCAGAGATAGGTAATCCCTATCTTCCTTGCCCATGGTAGAAAGAAACACAACTTTAACACTACTGGCCCATCCCCCTAAGTATGGTTTTATTTAACTACGACATTCTATAACCCAGAACAAAACAACTGGGTTGCCCCTGTTTAGTGAGAGATGATCAGAGATACTTGTTTGAAGAATGGGAAAGTGAAATCCACGGAAGTCATATGGTTCCCAGAACAAACTATCAACTGCTAGGAGTGGATTCTGGTTTTCCATTTGCAGTAGCCAATCCACTTTGAAGCAATGGTGCACAGGCTTTCTCAGAATTTCGAGATCCCTGGGACCTGTAACCATCTCCAACCATCTGCATCTGGCCCAAGATATCCACTGGGCCTTCAGCAATTTCTTTGATTGAATGATCTTCAAGGGTTAATGAAGGATCAAAAAGCAAGGGTGAAGGAGGGCACTGCATACCATCACCAACAACATCCAAGTCATCACTGAACTCCAGTGGTAAACTCTCAGTGGGCTGAAGCTCAGCAGCACTCAAGTACAGATCTATGGGGCCAGCTTCCAGATCGTCTGGCACAGACAGTACCTGCTCGGGCTTATACATCTGAGGAGGCAACTGGAAGTGCAGTGGACAGCAGGGATCCTCAGAGAGGCTTACAGGAACTGGTTTGTTGCAAGGTACCTCTTCAGATCCCTGGCAGCATTTGAAGAGAACCTGATTCGTATCCTGACAAATATGGGTAAGGCAGTGTCTGGTCATTGGGAGAGACTGATTGGAACAACGAACATCATCCACAAAGGCCAAGCACCTCTGACTAGAACGAGTGGTATGGGCCTGTTGGGCGGCACCATCTGTGGCCAGCATTCTGCGTTCCTTTAGCTGCCTGTGTAGCAAGGCTTCTACTCCATAGCGTTGGCGATACCGTCGAAGACATTTTAATCGCTTTAAGTTCTCTCGTTCTTTGGCCAAAAGTCCCTCTGGGCCAGTAAGGAGACTACTACCTAAAGCTTCATGTTCCACTTTGCGATTATGTAAGTATCGACGCTTCTTCTCCTTCAGCAAATGCTGAAGTCGTTTAAACTGATCAATGTACAAAGACTGCAAACGAATCAGCTTCTCCCGCATAATCAGGGCCACTTCTTCAGCCGTGTAGACACCAGCATGTTTTAGGGGATCTTCTTGATCACTGTCTATGCTATCAGCTTCACTGTCAGGGTCACCTCTCCATGTCTGATCCACAGTAATGGGTTCCTGGTCCCCATCACTCCAGCTGTCTTCATCCAGTATTCGGCTGGCTTCACTGCGGCTACTTTCTGGAGTCTGAGAGCCCAGTTCTGTCTTAGCATATGCGCTCAGCTGGCACAAGAGTGTTTCACTCATAGGCCCTGGGTTGGTCTTCTTCATTTGAGCATGAAGTGCTAAGGCATTCCTGCGGGCATGTTCAGCACAGAAGGACACCCCGTCTTTCTTCTCTGGTTTTGGGGCAGCACTGGGACATCTCTTTCCATTCTTCGTTGATATATAACTACACTGCTTGAAGGGTGCATTCTTGTCTTCAAGGATATGCTTAATGCAAAACTCCTGGCCCTCCAGGCGAGGTTGGGAGCACGGGCGATGAGTAAACGAACAAGACAGGAGCTCCTGAGACCTGGGCACTGGGGTGATCCTACCCCGATTGGTTGGCAAGACGTGAATCCGAATCCTGTTCATACCAAAACCTCTTCCGCAGCGCTCCACCGCGCCGCTCGCCCTTCTCTGGCAAGCGCCAGCAGCTGCTACCTCGGCCCTGCTCTTTTCCGGGCTCCTCTGGAGCTAACCTATTTTTTTATTTGTTGTTTTTAGATATACGTGGCAGTAGAGTGTATTTTGACATTAGTACATATATGGAGCACAACCCCTTCCAATTAGGATCCCATTCTTGTGATGTACATGATGCGGCATTTCACTGGTTGTGTATTCATATATGAACCTAGGAAATTTACGTCTGATTCATTCTAGTCTTTTCTGTTCCCATCCCCCTCCCTTCCCACCAATCCCCTTTGTCTAATCCAGTGGACTTGTATTCTTCCCTCGCCAGACCCCTTTATTGTGTGTTAGCATCCGCATATCACAGAGAACATTCAGCTTTGATTTGGGGGACTGGCTTATTTCACATAGAGTGATATTCTCCAGTTTCATCCATTTACCAGCAAATGGAAACAACCTATTTTTCTTTCTGGTGATGGGATTTATCTCTTTGCTGTTATGTTCCAAAGCTTTCTACAGACATGCCTGAAACCTGAGTGTATTTTATTCAAATGCTTGGCATTTGCTGAGCTTTCTCAATCTAAAACCCTGAGTCCCTTTTCAGACCAAGACAATTTTCTTTATTGCGTATTTACACCCTTCCTTCCATTGTTTCTCGAACTTCTTTTAAACAAACACTGGGCCTTTGTATCTGTTTTCACTGACTTAACTGTTCCCTTATATTTTCGTGTCTTTTTTTTTTTTTTTTTGGTCTGGTCTTCTGGGAGATGTCCTTCTCTTTATCAACCATGTCCCTAATTTGGTCTTTAATTATTTCCATTCTATTCTTTGGCCCTTAGTTGATTATTTAAAAAATTTAATAATCATTTCAAATTTCTAAAAGTCATTTCTCATTCTCTAATTGATATTTTTTTTTGTTTTCACAGTAGCCAGTACTAGTTTCACAGATGCCACACCCTTCCAAAACTATCTGAGGATAGACTCTTTATAAGTTCAACCTCATTTTTTTCTGTTTTCACACAAACCTATATGTGTTCATCTAATATTTCTCTTGCCTCTTGTTGATTTCCCTTAAATATCTCATGATCCTTTGTTGGTCATTCATATATATATAATTGAAGCACTAGCTTGATTAACACAGGTCAGTGAGTTGGGTTTCACTAACACGTGTCTTTACCCAGAAGCCACTTTCTGAATGGAAGGTGTTTTAGACAGCTGTTTTGCTGCTGTGACTAAAGGACCCAACCAGACAATTTTAGGAGAGGAAATGTTTATTAGAGGACTTATGGTTTCAGAGGTCTTAGTTCATAGAAGGCTGGCTCCATTTCTCGGGGCTCTTGGTGAGGCTGAACATTATGGCGGGAGAGTGTGGCAGAGGGAAGCAGAGATCTGCAGTTGCCAGATGCAAATATATACCCCAAAGCCATACCCCAATTCCCACCTCCTCCAGCCACACCCCACCATTTCAGTTATCCTATTAGGGGATTAATTCACTGATTGGGTTAAGACTCTTACAACTCAATCATTTCTCCTCCAAACCTTCTTGCATTGTCTCATATGTGAGCTTTTGGGGAACATCATATCTAAACCATAACAGAAGGTGATGGTAGTAGCTCTATCTATGTGGATGTTTCTGCCACAATCAAGCTTCCATTTAACCATCTAGTTAAAGGCTATCACAAATGCCCAAATGGAAAGGGCTTTATCTATAGATGGGGTGGAATTCCACTTTGAAGTGAGGTTGGGTTTGTGTTTTTTTGTGGAATCTCTAAAGCCTTTCGGGCTGAAAAACCATTCTTGCTTCCTCTCAAGTCCCTCATCCTTCCTCTGTATTGTGGGCCCTGTAAGACAGTCCATGCGGTCCATGATGCTCCCACTGGAGGTCAATACCTGCTCTCTGCATGGAACGGATTGAGAGGAGGGACGACTGGCCCAGTGTTCTGTGGCTTGTCTGTTCTGTGATAACTGCCCTGACCACAGCTCAGGCCCATGTTTGTCTTCCTTTCTGTTGGCTCCAAGCTTGGAGCCCCTCTAGGTGAGGACTGTGGCTGAAGCCTTCTCACTTCTGCTTTGCGTAACAATATGGACCACTTGCTTTCTGACTCCCAGAAATTTATCCACGTCATTAGAATTCCTGCTGATGATATTCCTTTTGTTTTCAACATTCTAGTAGACTTTTATATCGCTTACCACCCTTTCAATAGGACCTCAGGAGAAGGTGTAGACAAACACCTATGCTCCATCTCCCTTCTTGAATTGGGATTATCTAAAAATCCCTACATTTTTATATTGCCCAAGACAGTTAGTCAATAAAGTAGCTTTTTCCTAAAGCAGTGAGAGATAAGATATAATTATGTGAATTTTTATTTCTTATGTATTATATTTTATTTTTCTCAATTCTGGAGATTGAATCCAGGACCTTGCTCATGCCACGGAAACACCCTAATCACTAAGCAACATCTCCAGCCTTTTTTAATCTTTATAAAGGAACAACCGTGGGTCCCAAAAGCCAGAAGAATTATCCTTTCCAATATCACCTTCCTCACAATTAAGAGTGGCATAGTTATAGGCTCCGTCTATGAGTAAAATCACCTAGAGTAGACTGCCAGTTTACTTCACTTACTAGCTAGATGTCAAAGGGCAATTACTCCAGCTGTCTGGACCTCAGTTTTCTTGTCTGTATAATGGGGATAATGAGTCCCTCCTACAGGATTTGTGAAGATCAGAGTGCTCAGCATCGTGCCTGATGTGAGTAATCTACTAATGGTCCTTGGTAGCGGCGGCAGCTGCGACAGCAGACTCTCATCCCAGTCGCGAGACAGTCTCCCTGATAGTGTATCTTTTCCTAGACATTGTTGTTCTAATTAACCAGAGTTATGAGCCCTTTATGAGTTTGAGTTTTGTTTGTATGACCTTCAGTCCCAGCCTCCATTCTAATCTCCAGATTGCAGGGTAAAGAAAAAGGAGTACAAATTAAATGCAGATGGTAGAAGAGCATGAACATAATAACAATGCCTTGCATCTTCCAGCCTTTATCTCATTTGTTCTTTCAAAACATTATGGTGCATGTAGTTGAGGCATTTATTGAACATTTATCTAATAAACTTTTTTTTTTTTTAGCAAGTTAACTTTCAGGGCATCTGTTGTGGGGGAGAATAATAGTTTTCCCCAATTAACACAGCATTTTAAAAAGACCCATTGAAATCAAATGTATTTTTCCCAATACTTGGGCCTCATTGTAAATGATAGAAACAGTTTTTGTAGGCAGCAGGTAAGCCTTGGTAAATGTAAGCTTGAAAAGCACTGGACATTTAGTTGCTTTTTATTTAAGTCTTTCTCTTTTTAAAAACTGGGCAGTCCAACACAAAACTCCAATAAGTAGAACAGAGAGGAATGTGGTTGCTTTGGGCAAGGAAGGTCTAGGGGACTGGAATTCCGGCCACCAGGTCACCCTTCTGCCCTCAGCCCCTGCCTGGATGGTGGCTGTAGAATCACATCTTCACCTTCCAGAGTCCCAAGGGACAGAGCTTGAAAATCACGGATCCAAATTACTCTAAGGACAATCTTTATTCTTCCTATGAAAAGGCCACCATTTTTATGAACCTGCTTTATTTGCCAGACCAATGTGTGCAGAAGTGTTAGTCCTCCCAGTGACCCCTCCTGGATGACACTGCTGTCACCCTAATTATAACAAAGAAACCAAAGTTCAGGGAAGTGAGCCACTCACCCCAAGGCCTACAGCTGACGAACCAGGATTCGACATTTCACTCATAATTGTCTGACTCTAAAGTCTGTCTTTCTACTTCCTCAAGGTGAATGAGAAAATCCTTAGGCTCCTTTCTGGCAATGAGATTCTGTGTTTCAGAATACTTTTTAAGGAGAAAAGCAAAAAACATTGACCAAAACATAGATACTAAGCCAAAACCAAGTGAAGGAACAGAGAGAGAGAGAGAGAGAGAGAGAGAGAGAGAGAGAGAGAGAATTTGAGCAGAAAGAGGTCAGGTTTAACCAGTTTGTCCAGACATTGCTTTTTCTAAATTTATTGTGGAGGGAAATGGTTTTTATAGGTATTTTTCCCAAGTAGTTTTCTTGGTTTTACCATTTTCAAAAGGAGCCCTGGTTTCTTGCTTTCCTGTTTCGGCCATTGGGGTCTTTCAGTGTATGTGATGATCTGCTTTGGGGCACTTCATGTCAATGATGTTGTTGCTCAATTTCTGGGCTCTCACGGTACCCAAGACACTGCTCCAAGTGCCCTGGCCCTTCCCTGTGCTGTGAGAAGCCCAGGGAAGCTATCCTGGGAATGCAGAGGCAGGAGAGGACGCTGGGTCACAGTCAGTAGAACCACCCAGCTGGAGAGGAGGGCTGTGTCTGCCAACACCGTCATCCATTGGCAACACCAAAGACACTTTCTGTGGACCCTGTTTCACCATAGGAGAATAGGCCCAGGAGTAGCACCTCATTCCATATGAGCTGATCTGGAGTCTTTGGGAAAATAGTGTCTTAGAAAAAAGGGGGAAAGGTCACTTCTACACATGTTTTTCCTTGTGTTTGCCCCTCGCCATGAGTTATGTTTATTGAAATCCTCCTGAAGGAAACCTTGGGCTGGTATCCGTTTCCTAGAGACATAGCACAGTACCGCAAAGTGGGGGGGTGGGTTTCAACAACAGAAATTTATTCTTTCTGTTGTGGAGGTCAGAAGCCAGAAATCAAGGTGTCGCAGGTCTGTGCTCTGTGGAAACCCACAGGGGATCCTTTCTCCCCCCTCCTCAGCTCCTGGTGGTTGACTGGCGCTCCTTGGAGGTCCTGGGCTTCCATGTGCAGCACCTCAGTCTCCAGCTCTGTTGCCACCTGGCTGGCTTCTCCCTGTATCTTGGAGGCCCAAGTGGGAGATGGGAGAGGTCACTGTGTCTGGTCCCATCAGCAAAGGCTTTGTGGAGGAAGAGGAACTGAGCTCAGGATAGCTGGGACTTCAGCCTGTTGGGTAGAGGCACAAGTCAACCCACATGTGAATGAAT